AGGGCAAGTTCTTCACCAAGATAACATGGTTGCTTCTCTTCAAACCACCAGTTTTCCCAGAGGCGAACTCCTCTAATGAGGAAACATTAATTCCTGCCTTTGAAAGAGCTTTTTTTGTATCGGCAATCACTTGAGTTTCTCCCAATGCAATGCGCACAGCAAGATCATCAGCTTCTCTATCTAGTAATTCACTTTTACTAACACCAAATTTTCGTGCAATGTTTTCAACGACCTACAGTGTGAAGGAGCAGACAAGATCATCGAGTTGAAGTCAAGTCAGTAATGTCAAGAAATTAAAGCATAAATCCAAGCAGAATAATTGTTAGTATAAGAAGGGGGGATATTTTATTCATCTAAGGGGAAGAAAGTTTGCGTATTAGTTCAACGCTGCTACTAGCATTTTCTGTTTACTTCTTCAGTAAAGGAGGCTGTTATGGTCTAATTGAACAAAGAGATTTCAGAACCTTCTAGAAAGAGTTAATTCCAGGTCCTATCTCTTAAGTTAAAGCCGAAAAAGAAACTTGGGAGACAGAAGAATAAGATTGAATATCATTCATCAATTACGATCCATTACAATGAAGACTGTATTTACACAACCTGGGCCAGTCGGCAAACACAATCAAACTCCAACCAATAGTATTAATTTATTCAGTTATGATTGATGAACCAACAAATTATTATTGACATCCTTTGTAGGAATAGCACACAACCCAAGTATTCCAAGTATAACTCAATATAAATCTCTTTGTTCCAGCAATTAGCTTTAGGTTCCATCCATTGAAGCTCTCATGAGCGAATTACTATCCACTAAGCTGATCTAATTTTCAGCCATGTTTTATTGTGACTACATTTGAAAATACAATATTCTAAAAAATGCAGAGCATTGCAGTAGATTAATAATGAACAAAATCAAGGCTGATGAAGATACACTTTACGAGTAACCATGCCAAACCAATAAAAGCAGAGGACACAGAAATGAAATAATTACCTAAAAGTTTGATTTCGTCTCAAAATTTATTTGAAGTCTTTAGACTATGGAACATTCAAAAATTATCCTAAAGATCTAAACCTGAAAACAGATTTTTCCTTCCATAGGAATCCTAAATGAGAATGAAAACACCTGATGTAAATAATAAATACATTTATATAGAAAGATTGACTCCAAACTTACCGTGTCGGATCTCATGAATAAACTATTCCATCCTCGTGTATTTCCACTGGCTTCAGAAGCCTTCCTTTCCTCATTCCTCTTCTGTTTAAGTGTCTTTGATGATTGTTGGGTAAAATTATTGGTCCTGCAGATGAGATGCAGCATAAGATGAACTTCTTATTGAGATTTTCTCATTGTTTATGATTATTCCCCCTAAGTAATTGAGATCTGAGGCGTTAGAGTTTGGAACTAGTCACTGATAGTATAATAAAGATATTATAGAACAATTTATTATTTTACTTTTGACTTAGGAATTCTTCATTTCCAATTAGTGTAATTGGTACAACAATTATATTTTTATGAAAGTTAAGATTTTATTACACAATAAGTTTGAATGATTCAAAGGGTAAATTCTGGGTCATTACAAAGGGAAGGCAGTGTATGCGAAGTGGATTACCTGATTTTCATTACTCTATAACTAAGGGGAATGTATTCAATTAAGACTTTTAAAGAGTTTTTGGGATTTAAAAAATTTAAGGGTATTCAATTGAGACTTTTAAAGACTCTCTAAAAGTTACGGTGTATTTAATTGAGACTTTTAAAAGTCTCTAAAAATTATGGTGTATTCAATTAAAATTTTTTAGAAGTCTCTATGAGTCTTTGGATATTCAAATTTTAATGACTTTTAGATACTTTTATAAAAGTATCTGGGGTACTAACTTTTAAACAAAAAGTACTCATATAAAATTTTAAAATTTGTCTCTAATTAATCACGAGATTTTGGGAAACTTTCACAAAAATAAAATAAAATAAAATTTCAATCTTTCTTTCCTTTAACCTTCCATGGACACGTATGATTAAAATTTATTTTTTCTATTAATTCTATTCTATTTATTTTTCTTTCTCTCCTATTATTTATCTCTATTTTCTATGAAAAATTAAATTGGATTCTTGTAACTTTTTTTCTTTTTTCGTTCTTTTTTTTTTTTGGGAAAAATATATTTTTTTATTAAATTATAAAATTTTATATAGAGAATTTATAATTAAATTTAAATATATTGATTTTTATATACTACACTAATAATATTGAACCATCTATATTTTTTTCAATTTTTTTTTTTTTTTTTTTTTTTTTTTACGGGAAGAAGGGGGAGGAAAAGGGGAACTGTGAGATCTAACACCTCATATGTGAAAATTTCACACCAGATCCATGTGAATTTTATTTCAAATGAAAGTCTTCAAAAATCTTTTGAACTCCACAAAAGTCTATAAAAATTTCAAAATGAAAATCCATAGAAATTTACGAAAGACTTCCACTAATTCTATACAAATTTATTTATAAAAGATCCACGAAATCCACAAAAGACGTCATTTAAAAAAAGTCCATCAAAGTCTTTAAAAGTTGAATGCACCCCCTTATTCTCTTCCTTCTCTCTTTCATCTTCTCCATTCTAGCTTTCACTGTAATTTTGTTTGGAATATCTACAAAATATAGTTGGTTAACTGATTTCATTTACAATTCCGGGTTAATTCTTACTGGGTGATTGAAGTAGTGTGGGATTTGGAATCCAGCCATAACAGATCGATGAAAGATGGAAAATAAGAGGCAAAAATGCTCAGATTCTACATACTCTTGCTTATCAGAAGAATTCTTTCCTTTTGCTGGCATGATATGCAATAATCTCCCTTGAAAATCTGACCTGTCCAACTCTTCCAAAGCTCTGAAGAAAGCACCAAATATCACAGCTTTTGACAAAAGTAGTGTTTAAAAAATAATAATACTCTTAAAAGTTTAAATAAATTCAATCACTTCCACACGTAAATTTCAAAATCAATTTTGCTTATCAGTTCCTCCAATACAGTGAAAAAGAAATTTTTTCTTTCATCTACTAGAATATTGAAATCTCACAAAATTATCAAAGGTTCAACAAAAAAACAATATTCACAATCGGCACTGAAAATTGATAAGTGTAAATACATATTTTTAATTTTGTTTTAGTTAAATTTACTGTTTGAATCTTTAAATCTTATTTTGACAAAGGCAGATGAATTATTACAGTATTTAAACACAGATGTATAATTTTTTATAGCAAAAATGAAAAAAAATAATCTCTGTATGCATATATTTTACAAGAAAAATTTATGGCACAATCAAATGAATACTAATCGTTGTAATTATTAAAAAATACAAGAGAATGATGTAAATAAACCTAACCCATAAGATAAAAACCTAGCAGAAAATGTCAGGAAAACAGAGCATCATCTAACAAAAGATCCAAGGAAACTCTCATGGCTAAAGGAAACCTATGTAAATCAGTAAAGGCACATACAGGTTAACACAGTGCATTGAACAGGATTGATGTATTGATTTTGTACTTTTGGAATGAGATATTGTCAATAGTATGAAAGCTTCAAAATCATTAAAACATTAACTTCTCATGTTTTGGCGATGTGATTATAACAGCCAGTTCATTACATTGTACATTTAGGAGGAAGTGTATGCTGAGGTCGTAGTGCATTAGGTACAATTCAGGGTTCTACCCCAGGATACAATACCTAGCAGCAGATTCTGGAAGAGCATAAAGAACAAATGCTATGCCCTTGGACCGTTTTGTATCTCTATCAACAACAATATGGACCTCTGAGATGTCACCAAATTTTCTAAAGTGTTCTTCCAACTCCTCTTCGCTGTGTCACATCAGAAGGCGCATGGTGCATAAGAAAAAAAAAACAAAAAGAAAATGATAAGAAATAGCTATTGGCACAGGGCTTGAACTGTACGTGGCAGTGTATGGCAGATTACGGATGTAAAGGCGGCCGGTCTCAAGGATTCCTTCTTTCTCATCTTTTGTACTTGATGACAGATCGTCTGAGTGGAATATTTTCTCACTAGATATTTCAGAGGAGACATCTTCAGTCTCCCCTTCTGAAATTTCCGGTTCGAGTGTATCCCCAACAGGACCATGTTTGTTTTTGTTCAAAGTCTTGCCACTGCTATCACTATCATCATCCATATCAGAGTCATCAGCATCATTACTTTCTAAATCTGACCACTCTTTTTTAACTCTGCTCTTGAAGTAATCCATATCAGATACAATTTCATTGTGAACTAAACTGTCCGCAGTAACAGCCTCTTGATTCTCTAAAATTATATTTTCATTTGCCACAGTTCCCTCAAACTGAGCACTCGGTTCATCTAATTTCCAATGACTATCTTTTACTTGGAGTTTCCTGTTACTGGCATCTTTACCTTTCTCAAGAGAGGGAGCTGTAAGGGCATCATTTGCCCACATTTTAGATTTGCTACGCGGCTGCATGACCTGTAGAAACTCTTGATATTGAGGGTCATCATTCCCATCATCCTTCTTACTCTTCTTAATCTCTCCTTTAGCTGCTACAACTTTAGAACCTTTAGGCCCATTTAATTTATTTTCTGCTCCAGATGAACTCTCCTGTTTCTTTGATGAGTATCGACTCCATGGACGTGGTATTTCTGGATCTCCAACCTTCCGAGCAATCTGTGTTCAGATAAAGGTTACTCTATCCTTTTTCCTTTTAATTAAAATACCTAAGCATGTGATAAGCATACTGCATTAAAAGAAGATTACAAGTGCAATTCACCACTCCACAACCTTCGATGAAAAGTCAATTTGTTTAGGTCTGCAAATACGTTTCTTATGATCCATTTTAGGGAAGTGTACTTTATAAGCACTCAATTACTATTTCTTCATTAAGCAAGTATTTTCTTGAAATCAAACCTGTCTTATGAAGTAAGAGTTGGCATCAAATTAATAATAACAAATAGCAAAAGACACAAAACCAATTAGAAAATACGAACTTCGCAATGAATTTTGCAAGTATCCATGAAAGACCCGTGAAAGTAGTTAATGGCTTCCTTTGCTTCTTGCTCAGTCCTGTATCCCACAAATCCAAACTGCCTACTCTTCCCATCCCTGCACCAAAATTGAAGTACATTCCATTATTCAGATATTGGAAATAAAAAATAAAAATAATAAAAATAAAAGGTATAAAACATAGAAAAAATGGAAATAGTGAAAAGAAAAAGAATACTTGGTGCGCATGAGCTTGGCGTCAGTAACTTCGCCTTTCTGGGAGAAGAATTCTCTGAGGCGGTCATCGGATACATATCTTGGCAAGTTCTTCACGCATATTCGGGACCTTCATATCGAATATTAATCATAAACATATAAAAATACAAACATTAAATGGATTGAAGAGAGGTAATCAAGAACTTACATATTTGGTAGAACTTATTATTAATAACTGCAGCTAAACAGAATTGGAGCGGGGAGAGAGAGATTTTGTCGGTATTCGCAGCGGCCGGGGATCCTACTTCTCGGCTTATGGATTAAGGGTAAAACTGCTTGGATGGAAATACTTTGAGCTGAATAGGGGGGGTACAGGGTACTTTTTAAATTGGCTCAGAAAAACAAGAAGTTTTGCATTTTGACCCTTTTTTTTTTTTATTTACCACATTGGCCTCTCGTATTGAAAAATACAATTGTATCCTTATTTATGTTCCACAATTACAAAAATATGTTAATTCTTTAAAAAATAATAATACTCTTAAAAGTTTAAATAAATTCAATCACTTCCACACGTAAATTTCAAAATCAATTTTGCTTATCAATTCCTCCAATACAGTGAAAAAACAATATTCATCTACTAGAATATTGAAATCTCACAAAATTATCAAAGGTTCAACAAAAAAACAATATTCACAATCGGCACTGAAAATTGGTAAGTGTAAATACATATTTTTAATTTTGTTTTAGTTAAATTTACTGTTTGAATCTTTAAATCTTATTTTGACAAAGGCAGATGAATTATTACAGTATTTAAACACAGATGTATAATTTTTTATAGCAAAAATGAAAAAAAATAATCTCTGTATGCATATATTTTACAAGAAAAATTTATAGGTGTCTGTAAAATAAATATTTAAACATTATTTCGTTGAAAAGGGAAAAAAATAAAAAATGTCAGCCGGTCCAGACATAAGGATCGGCTGTTTCCAGTCGGACCAGCCGACTGTTTTTTTTCTTTCAAAATTTATAATTTATTTGTTCATATTTAATATATGTTTATTAAAGTAAATAATAATGAATATTTAATACTAATTGAAATAAATATTTTTTAAACAATTAAAATAATCAATGAATTATTTAAAGTATAAAATTAAATTAAATATGAAACGAACAATTTAAAAAATTATATATTAATTCCTTATTTTTAATTTGTGGTAGATATGACATCAGCATGTGTCCCAATTTGTTACTTCGATGGATTTCAAATGAATGATAATGCTCGGTGAGAATGGAAATGGACGAGTAAAGGAGATGAGATTAAAGCAATTTTTATACAAGGAGTACATCGTTTGCAAAAATGTACCATGATATACAAAACATGCTTAAGTTGATCCCTTTCAGTACGATATAGAATTGGGATTTTTATTTCATAAGCATTCAACCATTCCAATTCCACCTATGAAAGTTACTTCTGAAATGGAAATGAAACATCTAATTAAATTGAACCAATGCCGAAAGTCGACTCCTATTTGCGTAACTTTATTAGGGAAGAATGTCTACGAGGGTGAACACGAAGTTTCAAATGAAGAGAATCGTAATGTAAATGATATTTGGGATACAATTCAGATTGATCATAAAGATGATGTGGTTATTCCCGATACCACTGCTACTCACCATGATCACACTATTACGCACAGAATTCCATCGATAGTTGAAGACAACGAGAATGAAAACGCATTTATAAACGAGGATTTGATTGCTTTATCCCGTAAGAGACATGAGTCGGGTGGGAGCTCACAGGCTGGACCGAGTACACGGTTCTCTAATTGTTCGTGCGTAGTTCCCGATGATGAAGATGTATATGTCGAGCAACTATTCAGATCAATGAAAGAATTGCAAGAAGCTATGCACTGGATTGCTTCAAAACATAACTTCGAGTTTAAAGTGAACAAATCAAACAAATCGACGTACACAATTATATGCATTGACGACAGTTGCTATTGGTGTTTGCGAGCAACTAAGATGGCATGAATGAGTTCTTTGTAGTCCGTAAGTATGCACGGAAACATACTTGCGAAGTGGGTATTCGTCGAAATGATCATAGGCAAGCCTGATAATGGTTCATTAGTCGAGAAATAATGCACAAGTTCTAGGACCCACGAACGATTTACAAACCTTCGGACATCATTAATGACGTTCGACGAGAGTACAGGAGAAGGCTAAAGAATGTGCATTGGAGGATTTGATGAGTTCGACCCAAGAGAGTTATGCTAAATTAGCAAGGTATTTCATTGTTTAAGTGTTTATTTCTTTGTTATTTTAATTTTTAATTATTTTATTTCAATTGTTTATTTATATGTAATTAATTATATAATTGAATTGTTTATTTTTCTATTCATTTAATATTTAATAGATTATCTAAATTATGATTATTTTTATTTACATTGGCCAGGTATTGCTATAACATGAGAAGAATTAATACTGGGTCGGCATTTTTTATTGAAAATGATGACAATAATCGCTTCAAATATTTCTTTATGGCCCTTGAATAATGTGTTCGAGGATTTCGAAATGTAATGTGACCCCTAATCTTAGTCGACAGTACAGCCCTTAAGGCGAGATACGGGGGCAAGTTGATTATTGCAACATGCCAAGATGGAACATCCAAATTTACCCTCTTTCGTTCGGCATAGTCGACGGAGAAAATGATGTAGCGATGAGTTGATTTTTCACGAAGATGAGGAAAGTTATTGAGGATGTCGAAAACCTTGCATTCGTAACTGATCGAGGGCATTCAATAATAAATGGTATCGCTGAAGTCTTCCCCGAAGCACATCCTGGTTATTGTATGTACCATATACGGGGAAACCTAAAGACCATGTATCGAGGCAAGAGCATCGTTGCGTTGTTTAGGAGAGCGGCAGAGGCTTACAGTTTTGAAGAGTTTGAAAAGTTCATGGTCGAAATAGACAGTAAATCGCATGTTGCATGGGAGTATTTAACAAAGATGGGGATTGAACATTGGGCACGATCACATTTTTCAGGATGTCGATACAATATGATGACGTCGAACAATGCAGAGTTGCTTAACGTTTTATTCAAGAAAGATCGAGAGTTACCAATTCTCGCAATGATTGAGAACATTCGTGACAAGCTACAACAGTGGTTTCATAATCGACGTGAGGAATCACAGAGTTGTGCAAGTGTGCTAACCCCGACTCAAGAAGATAAGCTCTTCAAGACTCTAGATGTGGCGAGAAAAGTATATGTAGAACCACTAGATCAGTTTCGCTTCTTCGTGAGAAGTGCACGTAATTTCGGATACATCGTGGACTTGAGTGATAACGCGTGCACGTGTAGACTGTTTCAGTTGGAGAGTTTTCCGTGTACATATGCAGTGACAGTGACTATGCATAGAGGATTTCCACCACACACCTTATGCAGTGTGTATTACATGACTGATTATTGGAGAGCAGCGTATACGAAAACAATATTTCCTGTATCAAACGAAGTCGAGTGGGAAGTTCCTGACCACATTCTCCCACTGAATAACTTGTTGTCAACAGCAGTTGGACCACGTAGTCCTGGAAGTACACGTACGTCTAGAATACTATTTACCAGGGAGTTTCCCCAACCTCGTAAGTGCGGTAAGTGCGGTGCAACAGGGTATACTAGAAGATATTGTACAAGTCAATTTCCTCTGCATGACAATGTAACGGATATGTAATTTTAATAACTATTGACAACGTAATTATTTATAACATTGATGTTAATTATTTATATTAATTATTAGAATTAGTTTTTTTTAAACATTTCATTCATTACTTTCATTTGTTACACACATTATTTATGCATATTATTTATATTAATTATTTGAAATCGAAGTTTTTTCTAGACACTGCGTTATCCACAATACACACAAATATTATAAATAAACACATAAGTTGTAAAATAAATATTTAAATATTACATAAATAATTAACATTTTACAATTCTTTCGTAACTACAAATGAATGAATGAAATGTACAATGTTTAAATAAATGTAAAAATATGTACAATTATTTACGGATCCCCATAAAATTCAAATAAATCACATGCTAATTTATTTCTCCAATTTTGTATCCATGGCTATTTGATTGCATCAACCTTATGTGTCACACTTAAAAATTTTATGTACTTGATGACGAACGTGCCGCAATCACTCCTACAATTAAACAATGTTGTATTAGCACATCGAAAATTAGTTAGAGTCTAAGATGCAAATGACAAAAATAAAATTACAAACACTTACGATATTTGCTACCTCGCCACCGTCGTGTTCCACCCGGTGGTCAATTTGTCCTGCACAGTGATGTACGCTCGTCTAGCCATCATAGGAATGATCACAAACACCGATTCTAGATTTTGCTCGAGTTGACCTTATGTCAAGCATGAATGATCAGGGTCGTACATATACATAGTAGAGTCGGCGAATATGATTTTCACTGCAATGTAGTCATGATTCACACATACTGGCATGTACATATGCGTACAGCCCTCCCATGGCTTTGCTCCGACACTCGGCCACATCCCTACGACCCACTCTATCATATATGTCGGCACCGTGTACTCGTTACCCATAACTTGGAACGACCGGTACTCAATGTCAACGGCACGAATGAACTCAATGTTCAATATGAGTCTGCTGGGAATGTTGAACGATTTTGGATGTCTTTCAGCTCGATTTCATAGCAAATCCATGATCAAGTCGATGTGCTACATTAAGAAACACCAATAAAGAAAGGAGTTAATCTATGAATTTGATTCAAAATTTTGATTTTGAACATACATAATAAATAACAATATTTTCATTTCGCTTACATCTTCAGCGAGCCAAGCCTCCGAAGTGTTGATGTCGTGGAACCACTTGTAAGCATTTGAGATCGTCTTTTGAGCAATCGTGCGGCTGTACCTGAAAAAATAAGAACATAATTTTTAGTTACAAGAAGTATACATGTGTTTGCGTCTGCGTACTATACTAATTCTATAAAATACAAAACTTACCCAGGCTTTATTGCTCTCCACTCCATCTCAAAGGCTTTCCACTTGGCGTGATCCACCTTCTTGAATAAATTCGGGTGCGTCCCGTCGACAAACCTTCTCCTTTTTGCCTCCGCGGTAAAGGAAAAAACGACGTACTGTGATGACACCCTCGGCCTCTTGCTGACCACCAGCTCCAGCACGTCAACAACAGGCGTCCTCTCCTCGTCCATCTCGGGAACCTCCATCTCCCCAGCCATCAGGATGACCCCCTCGCCCACTATCGGGATCACCTCGTTCGACACAAAGACCAGGTCCAGCGAGTTTGGCATCTTCTCAGGTACCACCTCTACCTCCGGTACCCTCTCCTCCTCCAATACCCCATCGACGTCCTCAAGTATCCCCTGCACGTGCACCCCCATCTCCTCGGGTATCCCCTCTGCCTCGGGTAACGTCATCTCGGGTACCACCTCCAGCTCCGGTACCCTTTCCTCCTCTGGTACCTCCCGACATCCTCAGGTATTCCCTGCACGGGCACTCCCTCCTCCTCGGGTACCCTCTCCACCACAGGTATCCCCTCTCGCTCGTCCATCCCATCGTGTCATTTAAAAATGAATCAAATGCAGCAACTGATGGCTACGATGAGTCAACATACCCCATCTGACTCCCTCCCCCTGATAACCACCAACCCCTCCATCCCGATAGCCGCTAGTCCCTTTGTCCCAATAGCCACCAGTCCCTTCGTCCCGATAGCCACCAATCCCTCTGTCCTGATAGTGACCTGTCCCTCCACTAGCTCCTCCATCTCGATAATCGACCGTCCCACGCAGGCCTGCTATGTCGTCACGAATCGCTGCAACCTCAGCATGAAGGTCTCTAACTTAGCTCATAACATTGCGACATCATATCATAAACTCTGCCATGTCACCGTACTCAGCTCGTAGTGTTACGACATTATCCCGTAACTCTGCCATGTCTCCTCTCATCTCCATCAGGAGTTTAGACAAATCAATTGTCGAAATACGGTGATTAGGTGCAGGAGGTTATACTAGACGGCCCTCCTGAAAAATAACTATTACAAATGAATAACCTAACAAATAAATTAAAACGACAATCGAAAAATTGTTTTTAAGTAACATACTCTATCTCGATCAACGTTGGACTCAGGCATCTGAACCTCTAGCGTAGCCGGACGTGATCTTCTCGACGGAGGTGACATCCTCGTCGGATGTGATCTCCTCGGTGGAGGTGACATCCTCGACAGAGGTAGTATTGAACGACCCTCCTGAAAAAATAAATATTACAAGTGAAGCACTTAATTACAAGATCAAATCGATATTTAACAAATCCTGCACAGTAACATATCCTATCTCGATCCACCCTGGACTCAGGCATCTGATCATCATGCGTAGTCCGAACAGGCAATTCGTGAATATAAAACTGACTCTCCTCCTTGATCGACGGTGCTAATTCAGTGAGAACTTTAAGCTGACATTTTGACATGACACAATTAATGACTATGTATTGAGATTGTAAAAGGACATACAACATAAATAGCAATTGCATAATACGTACCTCATGATCGTCGAGAAAAGTCAATGATTGTCTGGCAAGCAGCTTGTCTTGTGCTCGCCAGTGATACATTCGAGGACAGCATGTCTCCCCTCTCCTCGCATACCGATTGGCTAAGATGGGGACAGTCTCGTACACCCATAGCTGCAGCAATTACAATTATTATGTATAGAATTCAATAAAAAAGTGAAGGTAATTCATTAACTTAAACATATACCTGCAGCGCCAACGGTAGTCCATATGCATCATACTTGCGTTCGTGCTTATCCCCCCTTGGCATCGAAAACCCCCTCCTAAACACGCGTAATGTATCTAGAAAACATCTCCGACCCTATGGTAGTTGTTGAAGGCATCAATATTATCAACAACCTCCAAATGGAAAATGTCAATTGATGTCTTCTTGTGATGACACTGGAGTACGCTCTCAATGATAAGCACCAAGTCCAACTTCAGCCTATCAGACATCTGATCACATCTCCTTAATGCATCTCCCAACTGCGCTAGAGTAACCATCGTCTGTCCACGAAAATATTCATTCAACAGCCTCCTGTTCCTCGGAACACGGCCCTCGCCTCTTCTTCGTCCGTACATCGCAGTCCAGTTACGAGAGCAAACTCAAATATGGATAACGTTGCTACCTTGCCCCCAAGATCAAAATGGAGGGCGTCTCCGTAAGTTGGCTTCAGCAACCGACATAGCAGGATAACGAGCAGCTGCCCAGATCACTGTACATCACGCAACGAATACAATGGCCATAAGCATGATTAACATAATATGTCCGCGTGTTCGTCATCCAGCAAATCTAATACCAAAGTGAAGCTAGTAAAGTTACAATTCGACGTAACTTTACCCGGGATCTGTTTGACAACGTCGTCTAGATGATATTCCATCCTGCAAAATTTTAAATATTAGAACCCTGTGCAAATGATGTTCGATAAACAAAAATTTTTTCATAGGTAATTGATAAACAAAATTATACTAATACACTGCTACTATATGCAATAACCAACCGATAACGGAATAAAGAAAATGATCGCAAATCACTATTTTCCATATACTTAATTTGCTAATTTGATTGATATTACTTATTTAATATTTAATTATTTCTTTTAATAATTTCACTAACACTTATTTTGATCGTTTCTTTTAATATTTTAATTGCTTATTTTAATTATTTTCCTAACACTTAATTTAATTATTTATTTTTAATTAATGTTTAAATACTTATTTTAATTCTTTACGCATATTGCTTATTTCATATTTAAAAATTTATTTTAATTGCTTCGCAAAAAATTAATTTGATTGACATTTTCATTTCCTAATTTATTTTTATTATTTTATAAATGTTTATATATTTATTGAAATTCTTTATGCATATTACTTATTTAACATTTAATTAATTATTTTAATTATTTTACTAACACTTCTTTTGATAGTTTATTTTAATTGCTTATTTTAATTATTTTTTCTAACACTTAATTTAGTTTTTTATTTTTAATGAATTTTTAAATACTTATCTTAATTCTTTACGCATAATGCTCATTTCATATTTACAAATTTATTTTAATTGCTTTGCAAAAATTAATTTGATTCATATTTTAATTTTCAAATTTAATTGCTTATTTTTATTATTTTACAAATGTTTAAATATGTATTTAAATTCTTTATATATATTACTTATTTAATATATAATTATTTCTTTTAATTATTTTACTAAAACTTATTTTGATATTTTAATTGCTTATTTTAATTATTTTTCTAACACTTAATTTAGTTTTTTTTTTAAAGGAGGTTATACTAGACGGCCCTCCTGAAAAATAACTATTACAAATGAATAACCTAACAAATAAATTAAAACGACAATCGAAAAATTGTTTTTAAGTAACATACTCTATCTCGATCAACGCTGGACTCAGGCATCTGAACCTCTAGCGTAGCCGGACGTGATCTTCTCGACGGAGGTGACATCCTCGTCGGATGTGATCTCCTCGGTGGAGGTGACATCCTCGACAGAGGTAGTATTGAACGACCCTCCTGAAAAAATAAATATTACAAGTGAAGCACTTAATTACAAGATCAAATCGATATTTAACAAATCCTGCACAGTAACATATCCTATCTCGATCCACCCTGGA